GTAGTTAGGGAAGATTGGCCCACTTAAGAGTAACTCTGGTCAGTCACTGACAGTATAAGGAAGTGTAAAATTCTCAATACCTACTTCCTCTCATTTTTTTACCCCGGGAAAAAATACTGGCAAAATTCCTAAAAATAATAGATTATATAGAACAGGATGATAAAAATTATGCACAATTCCCAGTAACTAATGATATGGCCCTCAGACAAATAGAGAAATTAAAACCAAACAAATACCCCACTTTGCAAGGGTGTTAAAGGAATGTAAAGAACTTAGCGAACCTTTGGCTAATTTTTTCAACAAAATTACTACAACTGGCATAGTGCCTGATAAGTGGAAATGCAAATGTAATGCCTATTTACAAGGCAGGTGACGGTCCTTAGCTTCGGACTATAGACAATAGCCTTGCCTCCATAGTGGAAAATTTATGGAATAAAGGATCCCCAGACAACTTATAAATTTAGGACTCTGCTAAAAAGTAATCTTATCTCAAAATATTAACCAAATCAACCAAACATCTACTAACTATTTTTTATCATGTGACTCCTGGCTTTTAATTCTGCCATTCCATAAAATATTACCACCTGCACCATTCCTTGTAAATTAGATTTTTTTACTAAGTATACATCAGATTTATTAAGTCCAAAATAAGATTGTAAAAACGCTTACCACTATTCCATGTTTATTTTTAAAAGTATAATTACTATGTACTATTATCTTATCTAGTTTTAATTAGTTACTATGTATTAGGATTAGTTTGCCCGAAATGCCTCAGCATGATAGTGGTTATCTTTGTACTTGCAAATCAAAAATTGTAATTAAAATTGAAAACCTTTACAAAAAAAATTTAAAAACTTATTATTTATTATTATTTTAATAATTGCCAAAGCAATTCGTACCCATCTTGATAGGCATAAATTGTTTAAATGAATCTAACACTGCTTTAAAAAGGGGGCGTTCCTGCCTTATGAATTTACTAACTTTTTTCACTAGATGTTTGAGAGGTAGATCATGGTAATGATATGGATATTGTGTGTATGGAATTCAATAAGGCTTTTGATAGAGTTCCACATCAGAGGCTATTGAGGAAACTTAAGGCACCGGAATAGGGGGATAAATTTTTTCCTGGGTAGAGGCATGGCTGACAAATAGGCAGCAGAGAGTTTGCATAAATGGGGGAAAAATCAGAATGGGGACACGTCACAAGCGGGTGCTCTGCAGGGGTCAGTGTTGGGCCCTTTGTTGTTCACAATTTACATAAATGACATACACCTACCATCCGACTTATGACCTGCTCGACTTAGACCACTCGACTTACGACCACTCGACTTACGGACCGTTGTTTTTTATGCCAAATTTCTGGGAAAAAAAAACAACTATTTGTGTTGTACACAGTGTTTATCCTAAACCTTACAGTATATAATACAGTATAACAACATAAAAAGTAAAGTAAAAATTGAAATACCAAAATAAAACAATAAAATAAAGTCATTACAAAAATGTTTTGTTGATATTCAGTAGTAAAGTTCGACTTACGACCATTTCGACTTACGAACGGTTTTCGGAACCCAACTCGGTCGTAAGTCGGATGGTAGGTGTAGATGAGGGAATAAATAGCGACATAAGCAAATTTGCTGATGACACCAAAATAGGCTGTTGAATTCACTCTAATGAGGACATAGAGCACTTCAGGATGATTTGAATAGACTGATGCAGTGGTTGGAGAAAGGGGCAGATGCAGTTTAATATTGACAAATGCAAAGTTCTAAATGTTGGACATTTTAAATAACCATGCCACATACAGTGGACCCCCGCCTTAGAATGCATCGCATTACGTTAAATTTCCGCCATACGAAGCATTTGAATGCAAAAATTTTGCCTCACCTCACGATAAAAAACTCGCCTTACGTGATTCATCCCGGTCGCGTCCATGTGTGGCCTCAGCGCCAGTGTTTTCAAGCCAGCCAGTGTGTCACATCTACACATACATTCGGTACATTTCACATTTTCCTAGTGTTTTTAGTGCTTGTTTAAATGTAAAA